ATATATATATATATATATAATTTGTCCTAGTTTCAAAGTGACAATGATTGTGACGTCAAATGGCATGTTTATTATTTATATATTTAATTTCAATTATTCTTTGATATCTCTTATAATTTAATGATAATTGAATTAAAATATAAAAAACATTAATGATTTTAATTTACCTAAAAAATCATGTTAATAATACAATGAGCTTGAAAAATTAAAACCAAAAATAAAAATTCAATGTCCTAATATCTTCTCCTATTTGTAATAAATATATGTATCCACCATATAATTACTATTTGTATTTTCTATTTCAATTTTTCTTTATATTTATTAAATATAATAATTTAACATGATTCTAATTTTTTTAAAATATAATATATAAATCATTTTAGTACGTGCAACGGACAAATGAACATCTAATTTTAATTAAGTTAAAGATCCAATCTAAATCTAATAAATCCACCTAAATACAAGTTAAATTAAGTCGGTGAAGTCTAGAAAATAAAATAATAATAATTAAAAATACACTATTATATATATATATTTCCACTAGTACTGTTGTCATACATTTCTATTGAACTACCTACTGCATATGCCCGATCTAATTTACCCTCATAATTTTTGACACCCTAAAAACTCAAATCAACAACAATTAAATTATAAATTAGGTTTAAATACTTATTTAATTCCAATAATAACATGAGCTTTATTTTTTAATCTTTATAAATAAACCATTTTATTTTTGTCTTGTACATATTATTTTGTTTTTTAAAATTATATAATTTCACAAACTTTATTTTTTAACCTCGAAAGAAGATAAAATTTAAAAGAAAATATTTATTCTTAATAATATTCATATTCACACTGTCTTGTTGAATTTTACGATTATTAAATTTTACAGATATCGAGTAAGTATTTACTCTGCCTATTACAAGTGTTTTCTCTATAGCAAATAAAATTGTCATCCTTAATAATTTGAATTATACAACAAAACTAGATTAAAATCAGTAAATGCAAAATATCTTAAATTATGTTTTTAATAATAAATAAAAGAATATACTAAAGTTAAATAAATATAATAAAACATAATTTAAAGAATGTTTATATATAAACGTAAATTGTTCTAAAAACTAAATAGAATAATATTATCAATTTATTGTAATTAATTAGAAAATTATAACTGTGACTAATTTAAAATTAACATTTTTACACAAAACATACAACTCTGTTTATCCTTCTAAAGTAAATTGGAAAACGTTAAAAATGATCTCGTTTAAAATATTATATTGAAATATAAAATAGTTTTTTTTTTTAAATATTTTATTTCGAATATAAATCACAAGTAAAATGTTTATTAGATTATTCTTCTTAGAATATGAACCATTTAATCGATAATAATAAATACAAATAAACATTGAACAAAATCTTGCATCTTCATTTGATCGAAGAGTTTCTAAACTCAGAACATCAAAATATATAATATATAGATACAGAGATTGCATCTGTAATTAAAAGGCTACTCCTCTGTTTTCTATTTTATCTTGTATAATATTATCTTTTTGTTTTATTTTGCTTAAATGACCACGATGGAGATGGTTGGTTTAAAAAAGAACAAAACTATCATCTTGAAAGGGCAACGCATGAATAACCCCATCCGCGCATCTGGCAAAAGGCGAAGAAACAAGGAATAATTATGAAAACCATAGCTATAACTAAACATACATTCAGATAGTCTTTGTACCCAGTTATGGGATAATGTCGCAGCCACAGATACATCTGTTAAGCTATTATGGAACACCCAAAGTATTAACATTAATAAAAACCTGTACAAGCCAGAACTTTAGGTCCAATTTAACTGCAAGGGTATACACACTAATAGCAAGGATCGCTATATTCTGAGACACGTGATAACAACTCTAAGCTGCATCAGCAAATCCCACTCTAAGTTTACCAAAATCAAATACCGTGTGATAACGCCCCATGAAGATATCCCCAAGGATCCTACATCAGTGTAGATGCCATTGAGGAACAAATCAGATGAATAAAAATCCAAACTAAAACAAAATGAAATATAAAGTAAGGCAAATGTAATGGCGCTAGTATAAGAAATTTAAAGTACCAGAGAGGGCCACGTGGAGGTGGAATATCTATAGCAGTAAAGCCGCTAATGCACTGAGCCACAGGACCTTCACCCACCTTGAGTATGTACTGAATAAACCAAATAGAAACTAAATGAGGAGAACAACAAAGAACCTTCCTGCACAAAAATTTATGCACCTCCCCATTGCCGCCACATAAAATTACGAGTACAGTAGACAGACGTCCCATCTTTACGTGTAAATTCTATTCCTGTTAACTTCTTTTCTTTTTCCAAATCTTTCCCCTCTGATGATCGAAGGTTAGAACCAACTTCATAAAACAAATCCAACGCTACAACTCTTTTTTCTCTCTGATGTTCTAGTAATCCTCGTATATCGCAAATTTGAATTTAAGTATCAAATTATCAATCAATCAACCAACAAAAGTTTGAAAAAAATACAAGAGGAAACGTCGGGAGGCCAGAGGACTTGGTTAATGAGTTTATGTGTGGATAACATATGTTGATGTGTTCAGTCAAATCCCCATTCTTAAATTAAATGAGTAAAAACTAATTTTCGAAACCAAATATACAGACAGAGGACAAAAAAATTGACTTCAATTCAATCCCTCAATCATATAATTTGAAAATATCAAATGGAGTTTCGAATTTTAGGAATTAGTGTCAATTTTGTATTATTGAAGAACTAAATATTAACTCCCTTTAAATTAATCGAACATTTAACTGATGTTTCTTTTTATATAAGCGACAGACCAGAGTTGATGTCAGGACCGTATTGATGTCACATGTACATTTGAGGACTATAATAGGTGTTTAGTTATTTCTTTGTACTTGCTACCCATATTTTTGGTAGAGATAACAAAAACAATACCAGTTTGATGTCAATTCTTTAGAGGACCAGATTGATGTGATAACGTCACATGTATATTTGAGGACTAAAATAGGAGTTTACTTATTTCTTTGTTCTTACTACCCATATTTTGGTAGAGATAACAAACAATACCAGTTGCTCATAATAGAAGACAGCGACTTACATGATCGCATTTAACCAAATGTCAATATGATTAAACCACTTGACTAGTAAACCACTATGCCAGTCTAACATTACTCTATGGAAAATAAGGCTCCTAAAGGATATGGATTTTAGCCCATGGTTTCTCTAGATAAAGTTATGAAATTGCAGAAAAGACAACAAAAAGCTTTTTTCAGCTGTTGTAACTAGCTTTAACTTCAATCTGTTCTTGTTTTATTTTTCTATATAGGGTTGCCTTGTCCCCCATTCCACACCACTACCATATCTCCTACCACTCTTCATGAATTTATTTTTACATTAAACTAAACTACAGTTAGTGATCAGCCATTGCAAACAGCAATCAATAAGGTTTGAGCATTTGAAAAAATCATACCTCCTCTGGGTGAAGGTCAAAAGTTCTTTCACCAATAGTAAAGGACACTACAGGTAGTGAAGCAAGATTTCCACAGTCAACAGATGATTCTCCCATCGGGCTAGGCATTTTATCACAAAGCTGCAACATCATCATGAGGCTATGAATCAAGAGGTGCAGCAGGATGCTTGAATAGAAAAATCAAGACAACCAACTCACCTGATTGACGTAGTTTAGTATCTGATCTTGTGTCTGGTTTCGGCTCAGCTGGTTCTGCATCCAAACAACTGCCATCTCACATGCAGAACAAGCGGCACCATGAAGACGACCAGATGATTTTCTTTCATTTTCATCCACAATACTCTTGATACCCGTACTGAAAGGGGGAATGAACAAAATAAAATGGAAATCATGTTACATTAAATATATTATTGAAGTATTTAAATAAAGGACCAAAGATTCAAGGAGTAAAAATTATCTCTGGGACTTACTCAACACCACGAATCCCATCAAAAGTGCACAATCCAATCTGGGAACAGATCTTCTTCGGCCGTGTCTAAAAGGTATAAAGCAAAAAACATAAGAAAAAATATTCTAAAAGATGATCAGATCTCTCAAACATACCACTCATTCATGACCAGAGGGAAAAATCCGATCAACCAAAATATGTCGAGAACAGATTACAAATGGTACTCACTTCAGCCAAAAGCAAATCCAATATTGTTTGTCCATACTCTGCAACGACAGTCCTGCATTCTTGGCTTATAACTCCAGATGCTCCAATTGCATGGTTAATCATAGTTATTACAGTCTACAAGAACAAAACCAAATATGTGATCGTAGAAACAAGTCAGTCAGAAGCATTTGTTTGACCTTTTTTCATATGGCAATTATAAACAATGCAATAATTGTTAAAAAAATTATTATCATGAACTGACAGAGACAGTGTCTCATGGGAAAACTGCTGCATATAATATAAACATGTTAAATTGAAAACTATATAAATATTAATCTATATCTACAAGAATTCATTCATACCGTTGGACCTGCCAACAAAGAAGTCCCTGAGTCTGCAATGGCTGAACAACCATCAGCACAATATCCTGATAGACAATTAGATCATGTCAGACCAAATAAATTGAAACTATAACGCATTAATGAAAATGCCAACAATACATCATGGGAAGAACAACTTGTCACTTCTGCTAACACATTTTCTACACATACCAGTGGGTTTACCGGCAATAAGTACATCTCCCATATCAAACTGAAAACAAAAATGAAAATTAACAAAGAGAAAAATGTAAATAAAAAAAATATTAAGAATTAAAAAAAGTGTAACCTGCCAATATCCTTTTCTGGTCACAGGCACGTAAGTGTGCTTTCCCTTATAGTGAGCAGGAACAACACCACCAAAAACAATCTCACCCCCTTCCTCTTCCTCTGGGTTGCGGTTGAACCAGAATGAAAATACCGGTTCCTTAATGAGACCTTGTTCAACCATGTTGTACCTGTGACAGGTAAGATCAGATAAACACATGGGGATTTAATAAACTTTTAAGAAGAAAAGTAAGGGCAGCCTAACTTGCATTTGCAAGAGGCTGATTCAATAAACTTATTAAAAAAATGATGAATAAAAATTAAAAATTGTAACAAATACCACACTGGAACAGCATTGCCAACTGATATCTCTTGAAATCCAAGTCCCAGTATACCATCAAACTTGGCGGCCAAAAATGTAACACCAGGCTCCTTAGTTGCTTCAATAAATTCCTAATAATCAAAATCAGAAGGCATCTACCAATTACTAATCAAATATTATGGAAGAAGCCATCTCAAACCCTCTATTGAAAGAAACATTGATGATCAACAATTCACCATTACCTGATTCTTTACAACTATGTCACCAACTCTGACACTGTCATAGCTAAAGAAACCAGAAATTGCTCCGGTGCCATATTGAATTGCAGCAGTAGTCCCTAAATAACAGCAAGAAAACTAATGTCAGAGAGAAAGACATCATCCCTTCTAATGGTGCAAAATGACCAAGTGGCCCAAAATGGAACATATAAACAAGCATGACCACAAGTAGAAATATGCTCAATTACAAATTTGCACTATGTCAGAAACTACGAAGTTCTGACCGTGTTATTACCATTAATCATACGATGGAAGGAAATTTTTCAAACTTCAGCTCCATCATATGATAGAAGTATATTATGTTCATATCCCACCCCATTTCAGTCACTAGGAAAGGAATATATGTTTGTTCCTATTGATATAATACAGGGACAGAATAGACAGGAGTTCAAACTACTCTGGCAAATGAAAGAACATTAGGCAGCTACTCAAATCTCAAAACTACAGTTTTTTAATTAATAAAAGGAGGGAACTTCTGCAAACAGTAAAAGCTCAATCAAGGACTAAAAGAAGAAAGTTAACTTTTAAAGCCTTAATAGAAATGACGAGGAAGACAAACCATTTTTCCTGTAAGTACTTGATTTGCTAGACTTGTATTTAGCATGGAAGTAGCATGCAATCTGCACCAAAATGCAAAAATGACATGAATAAATACAATAAATAAGGAATAAAATCCGGTACACATTCATAAGTCACAAATACTAGTAACAGATTACAATGTATAAACAAAAAACTCACCGAGAAGGCACATTTAGATGATGGAACCCACAAATTAGAGCTGCCTGTGTCGAAAATGACAGTGAACTTCTGAGGAGATGTTCCGATGGCTATTTCACCAAAGTACTGAGCATCCAAGTAATTCTTTAACGCAACAATATCGGTTTCCTCGGTGCCACCAACGTTGTTTTGGAGTTTAAACTTTCGAATGGAAGAGCGAAGATAATCAACATTCTTAGACCCAATTCGAGCAGCAAGCCTATTGTTAGGGTCCAAATTAATCTTCTTCAGCCCAATCCTACGTAGCCCATCATTTGGTGCACAATAAACCGCAGAAAGCAACAGCGTTGACACAAACAAGCACAACACGACCGCCTTCATGTTATCCTATTCATCCAAATTAATAAGTTGAATTATAATTGTTAGCACAAAAAAAAACTAATAAAAATTGGGGGCAGGTGGGGTTAACGAGAGAATTCTAATTTATTATATGGGGTATGGGGATGTGATTAAAAAACAAAGTGACATTTCGAAATCTTGTCAGTGTTCTTGTCTAATCTCTATTCCACCAAACCAATGCAAACAAAACATTGAAAAATTAGTCATGAAAAATAAAAAATAAAAAAATAATCCACTGAATGAATGGTACACGAAGGGTATAAAATAAGTGTGCGATAGTATTGACAAGGATGAGTAAAATATAAAAAAAATCCACACATGCGTGCAAGTTTAAAGTGAGACCTAGATAATATATTTCTATTTTTGTTCATAGAACGGAAACAAACGAAAACGATATCGATCCACAACGCGATTATATTAAAATAATAATAATAATGTATAATTTGCAGAGACAATCTGCGCATAAAAAAAACAAAAATAAAAAGTAGAAAAATGAAATCGCGGTGAATGAAAAGGAAATGAAACATATGAGACACTCACAGGTGCTTACGATGAGGAGAAACGCAATACTCTAATGAAATGCGATAAATGAATTAATTGAAAAAGGAAAAGGAAGAAAAATGAGAAGGAGAATGGAGGTTACCGATTTATGGAAAAGAAGTTCCCAAAAGAGAAGAAGAAGGCAATGTAAGTTAGTATAAGTGTCACACCTTCCTTACTCTATTTCTGGACCTACCCCCACTCTTTATTCCTTTCTTTTCGCCTAAAAAGAACGCAACAAGCCGAATTCCACAGAAAAGAAACTAGGCGGTGCAATCTTTCAATCTGTACCGTCCATTCCTAGGCGATCTAGGCCGTATATCTAAAGCCACACATAATAATAATGCATGCCATGAAGATACGTGGCGGGTGGGATTTGCAAGTTTGCAACGGAATGCAAGTGATGCGAGAAATGCATCTCTTAACGTCCTTAGCACGCCACGCTGTCACGCTGACACCTAATTCCCTTACACCTTCAACTGGTTTTTTTTTGTCCCCCTAACCCACTGGGCCAGAACCAAGGTTTCATACGCCACAACATATTTATACTCTCCAACTCATGCACACTTATCAAATTTTTATATTTTTAAAAAATGACGTGTTGTTTTTTTTTGTTAAATTTTCCTCAAATGTTAATATATATATATATATATATATATATATAATATTTTTAAGTTAAGAAATTAAAGTATATTTCAAATGGAGTAAAGTGTTATATTTGAATAAGTTTTGGATTTAGTGTTATTTAAATAAATTTTAAGATAGTGTAATTTACTTATTTTAAAATGTTTATTTGAAAATTTTTATTTACATTTTAAAAATAAATAAATATATAGAATATATGATAATTTAATTTTTAAAAATTAGCTTACGTTTTCTCTCTTTAATACCGGATTTTAAACGTTTTACGTAAAAAAAGAATAAATAAATAAATAAAACTATGTTTTACTCTGGCGGTCACTCGTGGGCCTTTGCCATTCAACTATTTAAAGGAAAAGCGTAAGCCTTAAAACAGAAGGGACTGGACTCAAAGTCATTTTGTTATTCTTGGGTCGACGGTGCCCTTTTTGGCTCATAATATATACACCTCTTTTTTTTATTTTTTTTATAAGTACACTTCCTTTATTTTTTAAAAAAAATTATAAAATATTATAATTTTTTTTAGTTTTTTTAATTTTACACTTCTAACTTTTAATATTTTACTTTCTTCTTTTATTTCACACACTTTTTTTTTTTTAATTTTCACATGCTATTAAAATAGATGGGGTGAAAAAAAGGTAAAGGGGTACATGTAAAATTTGAAAGAAAAAAAGAGGGATGATGTGTGAAAAAAAAGTACTAAAATTAAATGTTGTAGATATAAAACTAAAAAATTTTAAAAAAATTAGGAATATTTTAAAAATTAAATTTTTTTTAAAAGGAGGTGTAATTATAGAAAAAAGGAGGTGTATATATGATGAACCGCCCTTTTTAAATCTACTGTGTCCTCTTAGTTGCACAGTTGGGCTAATGCAGCACTACCAGAGCTTTTTGCTATTTACATTTCTCAAATTACTAAACTACCCAGTACATCATTTCTCTTTTTCTTGATGTTTAAATTTACTTAATACACTTCTTCTTTTTCAAAAGAAAAGAAGTATTTTGTTTCTCTATATATTCATGCATTCCTTGGTCCAAATTATGATCAAATGTTTCTTTCTTACATATAATTTTGATTATTTCAACTGTTTTTTTTTTATTATTATTAAATATAGCTTATTTAACTTAAATTATAAGCAATAATACCTTTTAAACAAAAACACGAAGAAATATTTCTAAATTTTTTAAGGATAATGTTGTTGTTATGAACAATATGGTCAATAATTTTTTTGTTAAAATAATTTTTTTAATATTAATCATTTATTTTATCTTTTAGTTTATATAGTTTAAAATAGACATTTTTAATCTCTATATTTATCTTTTTTAATTTTTTAGTCTCTATAAGATAAATCTTTTTAATCCTTTTACTTAAAATTTTTTAATCTTTAAGTTCTTGTCATTAATTATTTTGTAATGTTGTCTTTTGTGTCAATTTGATAAATATATTAATTTAACTTTGTATATCTTATATTAAATTTATTTTGTTAGAGATGTTCATTGTTGGCAGACATTTTTTTAATCTTTTCTTAATGTTATCTATTTAATGTTGACGTATTAAAAGTCTTTAATTTTATAAGGGTAAAATGTCTGTTTTGTATTGACATGTTTAGGGTTTAGGGTTTAGGGTTTAGGGTTTAGGGTTTAGGGTTAAGGGTTTAATGTTAACCCTAAACCCTAAACCCTAAACATGTTAGAAGTCTTTAATGTTAGAAGTTTTAATTTTGTGAAAGTAAAATTTTTTTTATCAATAATAGGTGTCATAAGTAAGAATTTAAAAGAGACTTAAAACCTTATGAGACTTAATTTTGAGTTCAACAAAATAAATTTGATATAAGACATACAAAATTTAATTAATATATTTGTCACATCAAAACAAAAGAAAAAATAATGCTATGAAAAAATTAATGACATTAATTGATTAAAAAATTAAAACACTACTTATATAAGAACTAAAAATATTTATCTTAAATTATAAGGATTAAAAAATTAAAAATTAAATATAAGAATAAAAATGGTCTATTTAAAATAATAAAAACTAAAAAATAAAGTAATTGAAACTATTAAAATTAAAATACTAAAATAGTTTTTTAACCTAAAAATATTTTAGTCAGCCAACAAGGTATGCAGCATATCTTTCAATCTTTCTTGTTTTACTGAGTTCAAATGTTTAATACCAGAACGCAATTCTATGAGGGTGATCACCTTTCACAAGTAATAACTTCCTTCCATCAAGATTGGTCCTGGATTTTGAAAAGAGGCCAAATTAGTCTTCCCCGTCACATGCAACCACATGCCTTATTGAAATTAATAAGAAGTTGGTCTGTATATATATACAGATCCACAAGATCATAACACATTCACACGTATAAGTTTGTACGATGAATGAGGTATGGCGCGACGACGCAAACGGCACAACCTTGACATGGTTGTCTCCATTCCTAGCTTAAATACCGTCACATGATGTGTTCAACGCTTGAACGTGATCATTAAGGTGGTATACTAACGCGTGAACGTGATAAAACTGCACGGAAAGTCAAAAACATACCGCACTTTATCAATCAAAGTCCACCACCTCAACCCTCCTTTTCCACGTCTTAAGTTGATCTTTTCATGTTTATTCATAGTTTAATAAACGGTTGATTTATTGATACCACGGCCACGCACAACCGGTGCAAACGTAGCTGCTGAGAAACTCGCCAAGTCCACCTTTGTATTTATTTTTCTTTTGGTTTACATACCTTCACATTAATGTCTTTTTACGAGTCATTACTAATATCAAGTAGTAAGAGCCGTATTTATTGACCAATGGGGAAAAAATCAGATTATTTTTCTGAAGACTGAAACAGGTATATTTTGAATGGTTGCTTATAGGCGATTTTTTCTTGGGTTGTTGGGAGGGGAGCTGTTTCAATATATTACAGAAAATATGCATACCACGTCATGATTTAGAAATATAATGGATAAAAAATATAAACACGTTACATTTTTTTCCTGGTTAATTTTCTCTAAAAATTTTGAACGCTAATTATTTAAGATCGATGCTAGAAGGTTGTAATAAAACTGTTGTGTTCTAAACCCTACCATGACATGGACAAAACTGAAAATTAATATTTCTGGACAATGGAAGCCCAATCTTGAAAAAATTATAAAGTAAATTAGGATCACAAAATGTTTATATATAGTCTCAATCAATTTCTTTATCACACGCATTTAAATTTTATAATTTGCAAAAAAAATAAAATTAATCACTTAACTAAATGTCAGGTAAAAAATAACTAGTCGTATGATAAGACCATCTAATAACTTTTCCTTTGAACCAATTCACCTTAACCCATTAGGCCATTACCTTGCAACCCAACCAAGAGCATATGAGGGTAATTGAACAAAAGTTCGTATCAGTCTAGCAGATGACCGGGTTACAAAGCAAATTAAATACACTTGACTGCACTTTTAACATGCAATAAGTTTCTCTCTGAGAGACATTGGGTTATGTAAATAGACTTAAATATTTTAGAAAGTATTTTATTATTTTATACTAAAATATAAAAAGAAAAATCTCAAAACTCTTTTAAATTTGTATTCAATACTCTAAATTAAAGTTAATGTGCCTTTAAAAGTATCTCTCACTAACCGACCCTCATTAATTGCAACGGGAAGAAGACCACAGTAGAAACATCACAGAATTCAGCTGAATAAGATATCAAACATCTCAGATCGATTCATGAACATTCACAAATTCATTTTCCCTTTTCCATGTTTAAACGAATAAAAGAAGGAATGCAGTAATCTACGACAAGAAAGAAAAGAACCAAAGAACTTTAGATGAGTTAATTTCCTAAAGAATTACTTAATTATTGTTGCACTATTGATGACATTGGGATTGCTAGTATTGTTGCTGTTGTTCGCATTGTTATTTGGACTATTCGAACCGCCAATAATGGAGGTGATGGCGGTGGCTAGGGCCGCCGTGAAGTTAGGGTCGGCAGTGATGGCACTGACGGTGTCAGCGAGCGAGACCTGTTGGTTTGGCTGCAAGGAAGGTCTTGGAGCTTGGGAATTATTAGGCCCCACATCGTTAGACAATTGAAGGCCTGAGAATTTGGATTGATTATAAAGCGCTTGTGCAATCAGTTGCGGCAATTGGGCTTGCGTGGGTGCAGACACAAAGTTCTGAGGCTGCGATGGGAATGGGATTTGAGGTCGTTGGTACTGCAACGCGTTTGGGTTGTGTGTGAGATCCAATGTCACTGTGGGGAATGGTGCTGAGGCTGAAAGAGTTGCCATGTTAGAACATGGAAGAATAGCTCTAGTTAGCAAATTGGGGCTCATTATTCCATCGACACTGGACATTGACCCAGACAGCAACATGCTAGCGGCAGCTGCAGTGGTGGACGCCATGGCCATAGCTGCTGGTGGCAGTGGATGGTTATGAGTGCCTTCGTACGTTGTTGTCAAAATTGTTCTGTCATCCGCACAACGTTGAACCTATATATACATGTTTATGTATCATTATTCTTTGTCTCTTTCCTTTAGATAATTATGTTGTTAAAGGCAATCAATTAGTACAATCAGAAAATTAACTTACTTGTTTGCGAACGGGGCAACCAACTGCCATAGTGCATCTGTAGTATGCTCGAGGACAAGGGTTTCCCTTAGCCATCTTTTGTCCATATTTTCGCCATTGGCAACCATCACTGATCTGGAAATAACGGTGATGGAACAAATAATATTTCAGTTAGAGAGATATATTATTTGATTTGGTAATGTGTATAAAAAAAAATAATTAGAATGATTGATTTAGACTTCAGACCATGGGTGCTTCTGATCTTGCACGAACTGAGACACGAGCTTTTCTCATAGTGGCTTCTGGAGTGGATGTATCCGTAGTGTTGGAAGAGTTCAATTTCTCAGTGTCTGGATCAGTCTCTTTCTTATCCTTATTGTTGGGAGGTGTGCTTGATCGAGTCCTTTCACCCGAAGAAGAGTTGGATACTTGATCATCTACTTCGGTCGTACCACTTGGACCTAAATCCAGGAACTGTCTTGGCACATTTCCTCCATGGTTTTTCTCCTCATCTTTTACTTTAACAACCTGTGATGAAAATAAGTAACATGTTAAAACTAATTATCTAGTTTTCTTCACCAATTAGAGTAGATTGGTTTTAAAATGATCAAACTATTAGTCGAATCCCAACAAAATTAATAAGACTAATCTCTTTGACCGAATAGTTTTTACACACGGGACACGGGAGATCAATTATAAATGTTCAGTTTAAACCCTTAATATAAATAAATACAAGTCGTGAATTTATTGTGAACAAATTTTCTAAAATGTAAATCAGTTTGGTGGGATATTCTAGTACTAAGAGATTGAAGTAGTTTGCATGAATTTCTAATTTCAAAAAATTGTTATCGTAGCTATAAAATTATACAAGCTTCAAGCTTGTACTAGTATTAGTTTTGAACAAAAACAATCTGCATGTAAATTAATCGTAGTAATAATTAAATTGTTAATTCATTATTTATATCATTGATTTCAACTATTACTGTAAAAATAAATTAAAATTTGCAAATAAGGATGTAAATCATATAATTATTAATAATCACCTCTTGTTCCATGCGTTGCTGTTGCAATAATGCTGCAACATGCGTTTGCAAGTTCGCGTAGTTACTGCTGACATGACTGAGCATCTCCTTCAGCTTTTGGTTCTCTGCATCCATGCGTCGAAGGTCCTCTTGCAATTGTGCCAGCTAAAGCCAAGTAGTATATTTCATCTCAATTAAGCGTGCAATAATAATAAGTAAAAAAGTTCAACAAGTGCATATTCAGATCAGATGAGGTTGAAAAACCAGTCGTATAACGCTTTAATTTTAATAAATATAAAACCATAACAACTTAAATTTATGTAATTAACAGTAAATAATATATGTATAAAAAAAAAAAAAAAAGTTAAATAAAAATCACCTCAGGGATCTTGCCACGCTTATCTTCGGCCTCCGATGAAGTCCCATCATCCACCGTTGAATGGTCACTTCCGGCGTTAGCGGTAAGAAGTTGCAAACCAGTCTAAATTTTTTATATAAAAATAAAGCATTAATTTAGTGTAACGATATAACCTAAGCTCAAAACCAAAAAAAAAAATAAAATAAAATAAAATAAAATAAAATTAAGCACAATCTATCAATAGATAAAACTGAAGGAGCTTACATTTACATGGAGATGATGAGAAGAAATCTGGTTGGTGTGAAGAGGTTGAAATGATGAATTGTTTGTAGCGGAGAGGAAGTCAAGTTCAGCGAGGACGGTTCGATTGTGATCATGGGAGGGGCTAAGGTTAGGAAATCCTAAGGTGGGGAACATGGTGTTGTTCATGATGAAGGGAGAGAGGCCATGGAAAATGAAGTGGTGATGAAAATATTTGGAATTAAAACTGAAGGAATGGAGACGTGGAGAAGAAAGAAGGGAGTGACAGAGTCAGAGGGGAATAGGATTGTGAAGTCTTGTACCGGTGCAATGGTGTCGGCTATAAAAAGGGTTAAGATCTGTTGTTGACTAGGGACAACGTAGACCAAATAATAAATATATATTAATGGATATATATTCATTTTCATTTTTATTTTTGTTGCGTCAGTTGGTGCGTCAGATAGACTACGATAATACCCATTGCCCCGCACCCATGGTCTCTCCATCATCCTTCATCACTTTCAGTTGAAATTGAAAAAATTGAAGTCGGTACAACGTGTTTTCCTCCTATCATTCGCCCTTAACAAACAAATAAGAAATCTACTGTATATACTATTTATTTAATAATAACTAGTTATTAAAAGAATAAATAGCAAAACCGCTAAAGTCTTCTTCATATTTATTTGCCAGTCAAACATTAGAGAGGGTAAGGTGGGCGAATGTGTATTTTTTTTTCTTTTTTTCCATTGAGGGAGGGGGGTGCTCTCAGTGTTTTATGTAAAAGAAATATTAAATGAAATTAAATGCATTTAATGAATATAAAGAAAGTATTAAATGAAAATCAATTAATTGTATGTTGACATATAGGAATTTAAATACTTAGATCTTTAATGAAGAAGTATTGTAGATGAAAATCAATTGAAATTTTAGGTCAGTTTAGTTTAGTGGTAGATTACGATACATACATAGTTTCAAGTTTAAATAAGTTTAAATTATGGTACTGTTATTGTAATTTTAATCATAAAATAATGAAAATCAGTTCAAATATAATGTTGATTTAAAAATATCATTAAGATGAGTTCTAAAATTTGTTTGTTTTGAAGAAGAAAAAAAATGCGATCTTTTATTTTACTTTTAATTATAAATCTAACACTTCATTTTTAATTTATTTAATGCTTTCAAATATTAAGATTTTTTTTTCCTGTCACAAGCATCTTCTAACTTATTAAACTTGACACTAAGGTCATTTGATCTAAAAGATTTTTGTATTCTGTGAAAATCAAACATTAAATTTATTGTTGAATAAATTATTTTCACAATGTATAAATGTAGAATATCTAATTACTATGCTGATTCACTATGTCCAAATATTTATTAGTAAATGTCAACCCCTTAAATTAATTAGCAATGTATAAGAGATGTATTAGCTTTAAAAAAATAATCATCATGTCCAAAAATTGATATATATATATATATATATATATAAATTTATGCATTTTTTATATTTATCTTATTCTATCACATTATTTATTGCATCTCATAATTTACTATCTTTTTAATCTTTTTCTCTTAGATGTAATTTTGTTTTGTACATTTTATATTCTACAAGTTATTAGGGTTGATCCTAATGTTGTATGGACCTTAGACAAAACAATAAGTTTAGACTCTTATATATAAGCAATAATATTTAAAATATAAATATTTATAATATAAAAATAGATACATGATTTACCTGAGACTTAATATATCATTTGGTTTATTAATTTTTTTAGGATTTTTAATTAGGTCTTAAATTAAAAAAATTATAATTTGGTATTCTATATTTTTATAATTTAGTCCCTACGATTAGAAATAACTTTATAACCCATGTACTTAATTGACATGATATTTTTTATTTCTTTATATTTAGACAAGTATATATAGGAATGGCAAAACGGGCTTTAACTCGCAGGCTGGCCCGTTGGCCCGCCAAAAATTGGCGAGCCGGACCCAATATTTCAATCTGCCAAACCCGTCAGCCCGCTGGGCCAAATAGCGGGCTGGCCCGTCACAACCCGCCAGCTCGCATACTTTAATTTTTTTATATTTAATTTTTTTTATGTTTATTTTATTTTGATGTAGAAGATGAGGATGAAGATGATCAACACAAAAAAGTAAAGACAACTTCTTTCAAGAGAGCTTCTAATGTTTTTGAAATAGAAAGTTAAAGTTGATTAATGGTGTTTGGACTTGTTTTGTGGACTATCAAAAATTTAGTTTATTAGTAATTTATAAGTTTATAATTTGATTTTGGTGTAAGTGTACTAATTTTTATTTGATTTTGTTATATGTTTGTAATTTACTTTTGTTGAACATATATTATGTATAATATGTATGCATTTTTAATTTCATATGGTTATATTTATTTATTTGTAGCAATTTTTTTTATTTGAACATTGTGGTATGTGGGCTGCCTGCCGACCCCCTAGCCCATCCTTAAGCAAGGCGGGCCAGCTATCTCAACCCGTTTTTTATTAGCGTCCTGGCCCGGCCCGTTTTTGGCGGGCCATTGGCGGACCGGGCCAAAACGGGTCAGGCTGACCTGTTTTGCCACCCCTAAGTATATATGATTATCATTCAATATCAACATTTATTTGTATTAGGTTTTAAACTCTATTGATTAAAGTTTTCTGTTATTCTAGAATTGTTATGATTAAAGAAATTGTGGAAATTTTTATAGGTAGATTAAAATCCGTTAAACATGTACAATTATATGATAATAATTTGAGGTGACTCTCTATATATAAAGATTTAAAAATATCATATTTCACAAAATATAAGTAGGTCTCTAACCCTAAGGACTAAATTACAATATATATATATATATATATATATATATATAACTTAAATATATCAACAATTGTATAATCTTAAAATATTATATATATATAATATAAT